ATTTACTGTATAAATCAGGCATGGGCAAACTTGGGCCCCTCAGTTGTTTTGGACTTCGACTCCCACAATTCCTAACAGCCTACTGGCTATTAGGAATTGTGGGAGTTGAAGTCCAAAACACCCAGAAGGCCCAAGTTTGCCCATGCCTGGTATAAATATTGCAGCTTGATCAAGATCAAATGTGTTGTAGGTCTTCAAACAGAATACAGTTGTCACACACTCTCTGTTCAATACTTTTCTGACTTACTTTAAAACAATTCAATCTCACACAGACTTCCCACATTCAGCATTCAGGTGAGTGCTCCCTCTGTCATTTTTAATTTGAAAACACTCCGTCCCCACTTTTTGACTGCTGGTGCTCCTCCTGGGGCTTGTGCTGCTCTGCTTGTTTGTGGTTTGATTTCTCTCTTCTTGTGCCTGACTAGCATTGCATGAACGTAAGCCACCAGAGTCTGCTGGATTTTGCATTTGACAGTTGTAAGTGGGCCAGTGAGGAACAATGAGACCTTATTGTGGTTTTTGAGATCAAATAAGCTGTGCAAACTCATACAATCACTGCCATATGTTTATGACAGCAGACGCTCTCCAAGCAGAGCACAGCAGGCTTAGACTGAAAAGCATGGCTGAGAGAAGAGTAGCTTCCAGCCCTCCTTCGTTCAGGCTTCTTGTTTGCTTAATCTTCTGAAGTTGAAACATCTCCAAGAACAGCACCTGTGACGTATGCAGGAGTAGAACAACAGGTAGTACTGCCGGGATATCATCCAAGGCTGGCTCCTAGCAGTAATACAGTTATAAAAGGATGCAGAAGGAAAAGGGCCGGTAAGTGTGAGGTACTTATTAGCTGGCCACTGCAAAAAGGAGAAGCCGAGTTGTGATGGTAACAAATGGTAAACTGTCACCAACATGTTTAGCTGTGCCCATTATAGTCAGCTCTCCACATTCAGTAGGATTAAGGGTCACAGAAGCCCACTGTAAGTGAAAAACTGCAAATAAATTGCCTTTTTATTGCCTGGGAGAACATCTCTCTAGGAAATTGTATGTCTTCTAACACAACTCTGTGGCCAACTTCTGCTGGAAACCGAACATGGAATTCATTGGAAGACCTAGAGATTTCTAGACAGGTCTTCTTTCAGCATGACCGGTGGAGATTTACCACAAAGTCACACTGGAGGACCTAGAGATTACTAGAGAAAATGTTTAAAATCATATCCCTGAAGAATCACAGCTACAAAGGTCAAAGCTGCAAAAGTGGAAGGACGGCTCAATATCTTTTATGCATGGTATGAGTCATTGCATACTATACCAATAACCTTCCCACGAGAAAAGACTTGACTAGTGGTGGATTTCAAAGTGATTCAAATAATCAGATAGCAGTTGGCAGATTATAGAAAAAAATATATTTTTGTCCTGTACGCCACATATCAATACAATCTAAATGCATTTCTGAGCTATGAGCTGGAAGTCCGCACTTCAAATCTCATCTCAGTATCAAACTTACTTCATTCAAATCATTGTGTTTCTGAGGCTCAGTTTTGTGTCTGTAATCATTTGGTGGTATCAAACACACCACAATGCTTATGTGTCTTGTAAATTTAAAAGAGGTAAGCGTAAACAGGGATAGACCATAAAAATACAGGTTAAATAAGCATCCCTTATTCAAAATGCTTGGGGATAGAAGTGTTTTGTCTTGGCTTTTGGAATATTTATATTTGCATATATGTAGATAATAAGATGTCTTGGAGATGGGATTGGAGTACAAACATGACATTAATTTATGTTTCATCTACACATTATACACATAGCCTCAAGGTAATTCTATACAAAGTTTACATACACTGAACCATGAGATAGCAAAAGTGTCACTATCTTAGCCACTCATAGAAAATTTGGGATTTTGAATGCCAGATAAGGGATGTCCTGTCTTGATTGTTAATACTAGATGTTTAATGCACTTTAGTGAGCCAGTTCAAAAACCAAGGATTGTAATCCTGTTGATCACCTCAGATATGCTTTTATTTTTTTCTGTAACTTTGCAATAATGGAAGTCTGACTATATCTGCCATCTTTGAACAGCACCTTTCTCCAAAGCCTGACTGCACCCCAGCCTTTTCCTGCCTTCTGCCATTACATATTATTTGATAGTTATACCAGTGTCATGTACTGACAGAATTCTGGTCCGTGTTTCTAGTGTTATTGTGGTGCTAAGTCTTGGTACACACCTGTCAATGAGTGAAGGAACCTGGATGCATAGGGACTTCAGATTCTTTCTCAGATTATTCCAGATTTTGTGGTTGTGGGTGGGGAATTGATCCATCTGTTTTGTTGGCACCCCAGCAGTTGTCATTGTGGCACTAATGTCAGTATTAGAAAGTGAACTAATCATTGCATAACCATGGCTTGCTTCTCCATCTTCACCCTGCAACCATCTAACTGCCTCCAGACTGGCTCCAAAGGGACCTTGGGGACTGCTGGATGCTCTCCGTTTTTGCTTGGGTAGCACTATTGTAAATCAGAACAGTATCGACTACACTATCAAGGTCCATGCCCTTGCTTGTTCTCCAGTGTCCTTTGTCAACTATGGTCTTTTCATGTTTTCATAGGGTAGAGAAGTCAGTCCTTGTGCAACAGAGTAAGTGAATAAAGATCTGACATTAGAAGCAGCAACATTAAAAAAACATTGGGAAAATGTTTCCATTTGATGCCATTCTACACAAAGGAACTTCAAAGGGGAAGAGACTGCGTTGTAAAATTGCAGGATTAAAACTCATTGAGAAATTAGATTTTGTTTGTTTAGGCCTTAATAGAAACAATGATTTCCTCTCCCTACTAGTGCCTTTTAATATAATAGAGCTAGCCTGACTTTGTTATAGACACTTGCTGCTGTTGGGAATTGTTGCCACACTTACCTTATCTACACTTGAGCTTTTGAGGGAATTGTTTCAGCTTGCACTGCTTTTGTTTAATGGCTATTTGATCTCACTGCTTAGATCTAATCCCTTTTGGATGTACTTAGGATGTGTCTGATAGAGATGGTGACCTAAGACTTCTTTACTGTTGCAACAACAGACTAACACAACTGATTGTCTTGAAATGTTTATAAAGCATGCACTTCAAATTTGTATCGGCTTGCAGATTTTTTCCCAAGCAGAAAAGAGCTCCATATCTTCCTTAATTTGCTATAACTTTCTACAACTTCTTCCTACTAGTCTCTTGGTTGTAATTCTTACATTGGGGTGATGCCATGTAGATGTTGTTTGATTACAATTGCCATCTGTCTTAACCAGTCAAAAGTACTGGTGCTGTTGAACTGCAGTTCAGCAAAAACTGGGAGACTATAGGTGCTCTACCCGTGTTCTAGATCAAACCAATAGATTCTCCTCAACTATTGCAGGAGGAATACTTTGTGGTCGTTTGCCTTAAAGTCATTTTCGACCTATAGTGAACTTATCACTCAGGCATTTCTGGGGCTGAGAATGTGACTCGCGCAAAGTTACCCAATGAGTTTCCATAGCTGAGCAGGGAATTGGCCCCTAATTTCCAGAGTTGCATTCCCAACACTCAAATTACTACACTGTGCTGGCTCAGAGAGGAATACTAGTGACTTCAAATTATAAATGGCATTGAGTGGATTTGAGGGGATGGGGGATGTCTAGTTTTTAACTCTAATTTTAATTGTATTTTAATCTTTACATTTCATTGTAGAAGGATTTAATTGTGTTAAACTGTCTTTATTCATATTTACATGCAGTATTTTTCATTTGTATTGTATTGTGTCATGTTTACTGTTAGTTGGCTTGAGTTCCTATGGCAGGTGGGATAAAAATAAAGCAATTAAATAATAAAAATTAAAAAATCACACCTGCACGCACATGCATATATGAGATAGAACACCATGCTTAGAAAATTTGTGCTCATTTTTCTAAGCCTGGTGTTCTATCTCATATATGCATGTGTGTTTAGGTGTGTACACATCACTGGCCTTTCCCTATGCATGTCTATTTATTGGCACATTGTCAGTGATAGAATCTATATATGAACAAGTAGGTTCTGTGCAATTGTAAGCTTTGTGTGATCAAGAGTCCTGCGAACAAGCTCTGATCCATGCCATACTATGCCAGCCAGGGTTGAACTGTCATTGGGCAGAGCGAGGCACCTGTCTCAGGCAGCAGCATTTGGTCTTTGCCATTTGGTCTATCCTACATCCTTCAGTATCTGCTAACCTTGGGTACAGTATAGAGTGCTGTCCCTTTGCCATTATTGAAATCAGATTCAAATGCCAAGGCAGCAAGCTGGGCAAGATCTTTGCCTTTACTTCAGTCAGCAATGTTCTTTGGATTGGTGCCAACATGTTGGTTGTCTTGAGGTCAAGCCCAGATTGACAGCCATGCTTTTGAGGGATCTCAAAGTAATCATTGAGAGCATCTACACTGTAGCATTAATGCAGTTTGACATCACTTTAACTACCATGGCTCATGGCTATGGAATCCTGGGAGTTGTGGTTTAGAGAGGCACCAGCACTCTTTGGGCAGAGAAGCTTAAATATCCTGTAAAACTCCCATGAGTCCATGGCATTGAGCCTCAGTAGATGAAGTGATGTCAAACTGCTTTAATTCTACAGTGTAGATGCACACTCATTTGCAGTTAATGAATGATAAGGGACTTGTAAGCCTCCTTTCTATGAAGTTTGCATAGTTGATAAAAGTCTGCAGTCATTATTATGCAGTTTTATTTGTTTTCATTGCTCACTTTCCCAAATTATTTCCCCTTAACACTTAAAATATATCTTAGTACTTTGACAAACAGACTGCATTTGTCTTTTCAATTTAATTTTCCTAATATTAATTTTTGAATTGGTTTGGAAAACAATGCTAACCCATAAAAGCTATACGAATCCCTCTTTCTGGCAACATTTTACACAACTGTCTCTGCATACGATCTGAACTGATTGTGCAAATAAATCTTCAGTTTGTTTAATTAAGTATCTTTTTTCCGCCTTCCAGACAAGAGCAGGTCAGCGTTCTGTATCAGAACATCAATATCGTGGAACCAAGATTAATTCAACCGTATGAGCATGTTATTAAGAACTTTATTCGAGAGATCAAGCTTCAGAGCACAGAGATGGAAAACTTAGCCATAGCCGTGAAAAGGTAGAGTCAATTGTTTTGTACACTTAAGTTAAACAATCACTGCCATTATATGTGTTAATATGAATGCATCTAGTTCCAACCTGAATTGTATGAGGAGTGTGCATTTTGGAAATGTTACTTTAGAAGTAATTAGTTAATACTTCCAAGCCCAGAGATGTGGTTAGTTCATTACCTTTATATCTGCTACTGAAAAAGTAAAACTTTACAGGTTTAAATAACTTCTTAAAGTAATTCTTAAGTGGTTGAAAAGCCCAGACCACTGTAATGCGTTGATCTGTGGTACAAAGCTGACATGTAAATCTACACACTATCTGTGACTGAATGTAATTAAAATGAGTTACAATAATACCACAAAAATTAAGAATGTTTTTTCTTGTTTTGATATAAGTGGAATTGTTATTTATGTTAAGGTTTTGCAAGGAATTGTGGGAGTGGGAAACCAAGCCAGTATTTTTTCCTGTGCCACTCCATCATGAGAGAAAAGCTTATGACCCTAAAAGGTCAGAGTAGATTACCATTCTGATACCCCATTTAATTATTTTGCTCTTCCTTGTTTACTTTTCTGTTTGGTCCTGTTTCTTGCTAATGGTACAACTAGAATTAATTCCTTATAAGAATTATCTTGCAGTTCAATGCTGCAGAGCAAACAGAGGGATGAATAAAAAGTTAACCTTTACAGGTTGTTTATTAAAGGTGGCTTGCAGTGTTTAGAATGGAATGACATTCAGGCCTATGTGACTCGAGGAATGTTCTTGAAGTATTTATTTAGTGGTCCGGATTGATTGTATATATCCATGTTTTCTGGTTCTGAACAATGTTTTTAAGTCAAGCCTTTTTGACACTTTTGGGGGAGGAAGGAACAAAATTTAGCAGGAACTATATTTAGTTTCTGCCTGGATTTTATGGACACACTGTAAAACAGCTAGGTAAGGCTGGATCTATATTATCCAGTGTCTGATCTCAGATTATCCACTTTGAAATGGATTATATGAGTCTACGCTGCCATATAATCCAGTTCAAATCAGATAATCTGGGATCAGATACTGGATTATATGGCAGTTTAGATCCTCCTACAACTACGACTGGAGGTTTTTTCTCTAGTATTATTACCTGTAGGATCAGCAATAAAATATGACAGTGTTGAATTCTGTTGGTAAGAATTCCCAGCTTCAAGCCATATCTTCTCCCAGGATCTGGCAGCATTCAGTGATTAGTTCCAGATAGGTTAGGGGTAATCCTTTTGGCAGAAACTAGGTAATTTATTTCTAGATATGTATATTTTTACAGAATTTGTGATACCAAGTTGACAGAATCCCAAACTTCCTCTTGATAAATGAGGAAGTGATCAATGAACTTAATCCTAATCACTCCTGTAAGCATGGCATACAGGCCAGCTAAACACATTCTAAAAAGACTAAGGGTGGATCTACATTGTTGAATTAATGAATTTGATGCTGCTTTCAGTGCCGTAGTTCAATCTGTGAAATACTGGGATTTGTAATTTGGTGAGCCACCAGCACTCTTTGACAGAAAAGGCTAAAGACCTTGTGAGATTTCAACTCCCATGATTTCATAGCAGTTAAAGTGGTGTCAAACATCATTAATTCTGTTGAATGCAGAGTAAATAGGTAATTTGCATTGATCCCATTTGTCTACACTAATTGGGATTACCAGGAGGGTTTCAAGATATTGTAAGGTATACTCGTAAGGAGTACCGTTGTGTACAATCTTTCCGGTTCTGCATGTGTACTTGGCAAATCATACAACAAACTTTGTACACTTCCCGGGGTTCAGTGGAGGCAAATGGTGGGGTGTAAGCTCACAGCAGCCGCTCCCAATAACGACACAGGACGCCAATCCGTAATCAATCAGGAACTTTTACTGCTGGGCATTCATACACGAAGAAAGCCAGGATTGGCCGGCAGCCGCAGCTTAACCCTTATATACCCTCCCTCACAATTGAATTCCCTTTTCCCGCCGGCCGAGAATCCCGCGCAATATTCCCCGCCAAATGCCAACTGCTTCCCCCCAAGGCCACCAGCTGCACATTCTTATCAGCACTCCATGTCAGGATTCTGGTTTTTTGCGCCAAGACTCAAGGCCTGGAAACCGGTTCCTGACAGTGGGGCACCTCACTCCAGAATTTTGGGTTTAAATGCTTTATACTAGGCATGGGCAAACTTCGGCCCTTCAGGACTTGAACTCCCACAATTCCTAACAGCCCTAGCCCCTTCCGGCTTAACCCTTCTTTTCCCCCCTCAGCTGCTTAAGCCAGAAGGGGCTGAGGCTGTTAGGAATTCTGGAAGTCCGAAACACCTACAGGGCCAAAGTTTGCCCATGCCTGCTCTGTACTCATGAGCTAGTAGTGATCTACAAGCAGTAGCCATTCCTAATGTATCCTCAGTATTTTTAAGTTACTACTTTAATCCAAAATTTGAAAAACGGGATTTTAATTTGGTGATATAAATATTAAATGTATTCACCATACATATAGGGATGCATTTTTCTGGAGGTTGGGATATAGATTTAATAATACATGTTACATATGGAGCTTGGGAGATCTCGAGCCACATGTTTTGGTTTGAGTAGATTAAACCATGTACTTGTTTCCAGTTGTTTTGGAAGCTTGTTTTATGTGAACATTTGCTTTTTAGAGCACAAGACAAAGCAGCAATGCAGCTTGGTGAACTAGAAGAAGAAATGGACCAGCGGATACAGGCCGCAGAGCATAAAATCAAGAAGGAGGTGACTTATTAATGCTCGGCACTAAATATTTCAGAAGCAGTTTCACCTTTTAATACAATTAGTGACAGAATTCTGACTTTCCTGCCTCAGGCTTCATCTGTACAGCATTTGTATGCATTCTTTTCCCTTCCCATTTACCATTGATGTGAAAGGTATGAAGGTCAGAGCTTCCTCTGTTTCTCTCATTGGGTTGACATTAGCAAAGGAAGCAAGCCTGGGGTGGGGAGGGAAAGTCCTATGCCTACTGCTAAAATAATTTATCAGCAAGAGAATAATAATAGGGTATGGCAAAAGGACCTTTGGGAGATTTACTATGCCATATGGACATTCTGGAAATCAAATGTCCACACAAATCTAATTATTCAAGCAGTGAGAATCATTTGGGGATCTGTAAAATAATATGGAGAAATGTGTACATTTGTTTGACAAGCAGAAAATCTTAGTAAATATTCAACCCACACGTAAGAAATAAAAACCATTACTTTCTATCTAAGGCACTGATTTGTAAAAAGGAAAGTCTAAGTTGTTCTTGGTAATGCTGTGCCAGCCAAGTTAGTGGTTAGATGTTCACCTTATGGAGGACTTAAGATCTCACTGTAAACCCATAAACCCATTAAAACAACAATGGGCGAGAAAGGGCCAGCCTTTCTCAACCTGTGATGAACCTGTATTCCCATCAGTCTCCAGCAATGTATGCCGAAAATTTCAATTCAAAGGATCGGAAGGACTAAGCCTAGGAAGATAAGCACTTGCGAAGTGATCTACCACCTAAAGTCAAATATTAGGGGTGGCCCATGATGACTTATTTCTCTTATCATTGTTTGAAATTGTGCTTATCTTCCTCTATTCCCTATAGGCACATATTTTCAAAAAGTATGACACCCCAAATGTAAATGTAAAGCAGCTGTGATATTTACCTTGTGGGATAGTACTAACTGTAAATTTTAATGGTAGTCATGCACTTTGTTGTCACTGACATTAGAATGACTCATGGTACTCAAAGTACTTTAAGTTCTAGTCAGTACTTTGGGGTTTATTCCTTAGTGGCAACAGTGGCAACAATTGTGTAACACTGAACTTGACAATCCTTCAGTGGTCATATTTTTATCTGCAAACAATTTCAGGCAGGGGTGGGGAGGCTCAAGTCCTGGGCCTGAATCAGCTCTGAATCAAACTCTTTCCCTCACCACCATCCTTTGGTGGTTTCCCAGTTGTTGTGCAGGTTTTTGAATCACCTGAAAAGGTTGGAATGTATTTCTTAAGGCTTACATCTTGAAGTTAAAACACATGGTACTATTTTGCCTTTGACTTCAACTATCACTGAATTGGGCCCCCTGGTGGCGCAGCGGGTTAAACTGCTGAGCTACTGAACTTGCTGACAGAAAGGTTGTCGGTTCAGATCTGGGGAGTAGAGTGAGTTCCTGCTGTTAGCCCAGCTTCTGCCAACCTAGCAATGGAGAGCCAATTATATGTAATATTTCTTGTACAATAAATAAGAAAGATTTGTCTGCTTCAGGAGAGAAATTGTTGACCTCTGCCATTTGTAATTTAATACAAATGTGAAATGTTGTAGGAAAAACGGAAAGCAGAAGAGGCTTTGAATGATCTGAAGCGGCAGTATGAAGCAGAAGTTGGAGACCTCCAAGTGACGATAAAAAAGCTAAAAATGGTAAATATGAACATATTCTGAGATTTTTTGTGGCTAATTCATCGGAACCTGATCTTTTGATGAGGTTTTGCCATTGTTGGGCAATTAA